CTAGGCTACTCAGTTGCAAAATGTGGATAAAAGTACTTATCTCACAGGGTTATTAGGAAGATTAAATGAGGAAGATTACTATGCCTGGTTCATAGTAAGTGTAATGTGTCAGCTATTATTATTAAAATCAGGAAGGAAAGACAAAATTCAAGCGTGTGAGACTTGCAGCCTGAATTCTTTTTAGGAGTATTATGCTTTTTATTAAAATTGATTTCAGTGTTCTTACCAACTCCATTTTTTCCAACGCTTCTCATTTACAGGTTGGCTGGTCGTAAGTGATCTAATTACACTGATAAAACTACATTTCTATCACTAGCATGACTCTTCTCCCATACTATCCATCTTAAATTTGTGAAAATATTACCTTCCCTATTGAACTTTAAGAAGCACGATAGGGGTCAAAACTAGTTAAAAAAAAAAAAAACTTGTACTTATGGTAGTATGTGTAGTGCATGTTAATTTAAAAAATCCATTTTAATAGGTCTATTTAGCTTTGAGTCAAATGCATTAGCATCTAGAGCAGGGGTGGGAACATCTGACCTGTGGGCCAGCTTGGCCCTGCCAAGGCATTAGGGGTGAGTTAATTAAATGTTTGACCAAATATAGCAGGCTAGATTTTAAATTGATAATTTTGTATAGCCTACAAATGATGTTAAAAATATCCAAATGCCTCTTGGAAGAAAAAAGGTTCCCCAACCCTGATTTAGAAGCTCATGTACTCCTGGTGCTTAAATGTTATTTTAATTCCAGTCCATAAATTGAGTGCTGAAATTTATATGAAGGACAGAATGTGCATAAGTGATGCTGACTTGCATATGGGTGGATATACATATACATGGTACTTTTCAATGCTGCACTATATTCAATTTACTAAATGTCTGTCTGTTTTTCCGACCTATGAACCAATCATCAAGACCTTTTCAGTAGCAAATCTCCTGACAATAGATCTATGCTCATTGTAACCTTAAAAATACGGATTACTTTTTCTCATGTAACTTCTTCCTTTTCCAAGAAGCCTACAAACAATTTCAGGAAGGACATCAAAAAGCAACTATAAATTCTGCACTCAATAGTACGGTATCTGGCTTCTATCATGCATAGGGACCCTTGTATGCTCACAGCTGGAAGATTACACTAAAGACGTGCCAGCTGTCTTCAAGTACTCCAAGGAGCCATGGAGAAGAGTACAGACTAATTCTTCATGTTCCAGAGGCAGGATAAGTTGTAAGGAAATAGATTTGAGAGAGAGGAAAAGAACTCTCTGAAAATTAGAGTAAAGGGAATCATGTAAGGCAGTGAATACTATTATCACTAAAAATGTTTGAGTAGAACACTGACATTTAGGAATGATGTAGAAAAGATAAGTATTTAATAAAGAGTTGGACTACATGATCGCAAACCTCTCCTTCAATTAAAATGTTCTTGAATTTTATTAATACTTAATCCCAAGTGATGGTCTAATGTACAACACTCGCATGCTATAGGCATATGCGTACCTGCCCGATGTTGCAGAGTATATGTGGGATACATGATTATGACCCCTTCACCTGGGGCAACTGACATTTTAGAAGTTGCAAGATCCTATCCTTACTGTTTGGAATTCTATCATTCCATGATCCCCAACCCAAGTGAAAGATAGGAAAATTATGGGAACATTAATTTTATTATTTTATAAACATTTCTAAAATTCAGAAAAAAAATTTTAAATGAGGAAATATGGGTAATCTATATATCTAAAAGCCTACTATGCATATTGTCAACCAGGAAACCAGGAGTTCAATTGCTCGCTATGACGTACGCTGACCACCAGGGGACGGCGCGGAACGAAAGAAGGCCCCGACCAGCTGCTGGCAGCCCAAGGCTCCAATTGGCCCTGATCGCCAGCCAGGCCTAGGGGCCCTACCCTGCACTCATTTCATGCACCGGCCTCCAGTTGAAGTATAATAACTTAACCACCACACCAGATCTACTATTATATTAAAACTACTTGGGTGGTATAAATAACATGGTTTAAAACAGTTATATTTAGCCCTACCTGGTTTAGCTCAGTAGAGAGAGCATTGAACTGCAGACTGAAGGGTGCCAGGTTCAATTGCAGTCAAGGGCACATGCCTGGAATTGTGGGCTCAATCCCCAGTAGGGGGCGAGCAAGGGGCAGCTGATCAATGATTCTCTCTCATCGATGTTTCTATCTCTCTCTCCCTCTTCCTTCCTCAATGAAATCAATTTTAAAAAAATTTTTGAACAGTCATATTTACTCCATATACTGAGATACTAAGAAAAATATCATAAAAATAAAGTAAAAAGAAATGTTTAAGCAATAAAACACAGCATGGCCAGTATGGCTCAGTTGGTTGGAGCATCTTCCCGTATATCAAAAGGAGGCAGGTTCTACTCCAGGTCAGGGCACATCCCCTCGGGGCATGTGTGGAAGGCAACTAATTGATGTTTCTTTCTCACTTTGATGTCTGCTGTCTGTCTTTCTTTCTCCCCTGCCTTCCTTTTCTCTAAAATTATTTTTTAAGCAAAAAATATGAATTACCTAGAACATATATCCTATAAGTACATGAAGGTATATTATTATGCCTCTTTGCAATTCCCATAGTAAAACTTAAAATAAAAAGTACCCACATTTAAAAAAAAATGAAATTCAACTCTCAAATCAATATAAACATGATAGTGGGGTCTTTTTAAGCTATAGGAAGAACAGGAATGGGTTAGTATCCACTTAACTATATCCAAATTCACTTGGACTCAAATCTGAAAATATTTAACTGCTATTTAATACTTCACATACACAGGAAATTGCAGAGGAAAAGTTCTTAAGCTCTATTTAGAAATAGTTTCATTACTAAAATTGAATAACACTTCATTAGAACTTGGATTTGAAAAATGTTACTACATAGCAGGTTTGTTTTTTTAATCCAAGATGCATAGTAGCTTTGTATCTGACTTCAGGTATTATAGTCTTAATCGACTATAAAATTAATTGTTCTTGATAGTTTAGAATTGCTTTTAATAAATAAAATTATTTTGTTTCCTCTGTATTTCTTAGAATTTCCAAAGCCTAGAAAAAGGTGTTTATCTAATTTCTGTTTAACAGCTAAGACTTCTACTAATAGTGAAGAAAGAAGAAACATTAGTGTAGTATTAGACTAGGAGTGAAGTGGTAAGATTCTAGTCCTGGCTCTGAACTTACTTTACACTGAACATATCACTTAAGCCTTCCAGGTCATAGTACTCACCCATAAAATAATTCAAACCTGATGACTTCAGAGACTGCACCCAGTCTCTGAGGCTGGACAATAGAATGACCTTCATAGTGCGTGCACACTTTCACTGTGATGGTACTCCATCCTTACACTAGCTATTGCACACAATACTATGGATGAACCCACATAAAATGAGCAAGGCCAGGAATGTTTAAGCAAATGTGATTTTTTTAAATATACTGTACTGAAATATGGGTTAGATATCAAGGGCATTTATTTTCTTGTCTAGAATGTATTGACACTATATGCTGCAAATAAAGCTTTGAAGTTATAAAACACTCACGAATCAACCAACACAACTAATCCTGCTGACTCTTGAACAGAAAGGAAAATCTCTGAGTAATAATTTCTTGACACCCAATACCTGTGGCACCTATACACCCATGGAAACTGTTACTTTTATGGCATAATGAAACCAAGAGCATGAAGCAGAATGTACTCTTGGTTAAATCAGGGCAGATGCAAATTAAGCACTTGAGAAAACTACCTTCCTAGTTAGTAATAAACTAATGAGATTTCGTTAAAAGTGTAAATGTTTGTGTCTAAATGTTTATATTGCATATAGAAAACACAAAGTTAATTCCCTAACCTCTAGCACCACATATCTTCCATAAATGGTGTTGATGTGTTGCTGGTATTTCAAAAGCCCCACTTTATGAAGTCTAAAACTAAGCTAGCCAAAACCGGTTTGGCTCAGTGGATAGAGCATCAGCCTGTGGACTGAAAGGTCCCAGGTTCAATTCCGGGCAAGGGCATGTACCTGGGTTGCGGGCACATCCCCAGTGGGAGATGTGCAGGAGGCAGCTGATCGATGTTTCTCTCTCATCGATGTTTCTAACTCTCTATCTCTCTCCCTTCCTCTCTGTAAAAAAATCAATAAAATATAATTAAAAAATAAAAATAAAACTAAGCTAATCCAAATGAAAATATAGACTTCTTTTTTAAGATGAAGTGATTAATAGATGTTAGTTTATAACTATGAAATCAATAAAAGTAAACAAGGACCCTCCAAATTTTAGTAACAAATGGGTCATGTAGTACAAATGTGATAAAATGAAAAAACAAGCTTTCAGAAATATCAACACTAAGAAGTAGAGCTATTGATACATCAGTTAATTGCAAAAAGACTGCCAAGAGAATGTGAGCTATCTACATAAAATTATAGTGTCAGTATGTTGGAGAAAGGTATCCAGGGAACCAGACATGAAAAGGAATATAGCTCTAAAAAATGCATAACATAAGCAAGTTATTGGGGGAAAGGAATCAAAGAAAGGAAACAGCTATGTTTAATTTATAGCTCAAAGAATTCAAAGATAATATTAATAGTAAAAATCTACAAAGTGACTTTGAACCAGAGGGTTTAGGTTTCTTTAAAGAGCCTACGATAGCCCAGCCGGTGTGACCCAGAGGTTGAGTGTCGACCTAGGATCCAGGAGGTCAAGGTTCGATTCCCGGTCAGGACACATGCCCAGGTTGCAGGCTCCATTCCCAGTATGGGGCGTGCAGGAGGCAGCCGATCCATGATTCTCTCTCATCATGGATGTTTCTCTCTCCACCTTTCCCTTTCTCTCTGACATCAATAAAATATATTAAAAAAAAAAAAAAAGCCTACGACAGTGTATATGTGAGAAAACTGAATGGAGATGTAAGCTAGTATTGTGGTATTGTGATTTAACCACAAAGGCCTTCCTATGTAAATATTCCAACGAGTACTGTTAGTACACATACCTCGGAGAATTCTTTCCTCATGGCAACGAAGAAAGTCCCAGATTCTAACAGTGCCGTCATCAGAGCATGTAGCAAATTTATTATCCGTGGGTGAGAAACTGTTACATGAAGACACACAGCAGGGGAAAGAAGTCAGCATTTAACAGATTATCTGTGCTTCTCAGACAGGGAAAAATAAAAACACTGTGCTGCCTTATAAACAGAAGAGGGAAGTATCCACCCGTGAAGACGCAACATAAAGAGAATGTTGTCAGCTAACCATGGCATCTCATCAAAAGAATTTAATACAGTAGTTGCTTCTTAATTTCCAATCATCAATATTCAGAGCACTTTACAAGTGTATTATTACTGCTATTCACACTTCCCACAATACAGGATTTCCTGTTGTACCAACAGAAAACATGGAGCTAATCTAAGTGTAGAAACTAATTGAATTCCATTTTTGCAATATTCCTGTAAACAATCTTTTAAATCACGAAAGAACACTGCTCAAAAAATTAGCATCAGCTTTCACCTCAGACACTTCATGAAATGATAAACTGAAAAAGGCTGGACAGGATTTTTAAAGACTGGTGCTAAACATTCCTACATATGATGTTTCTGATTTATTTAAAAAGTCTACGGAAAACTTTCCCATCTCCTTTCTGACAAGCTACCTCGTGAATATTGCACCTTTTGACAAAAAAGTTAGCATAGGGACATTCAGACTTGTGTGTAAAGCCCAAGAATCTGCTGCAAAGGAGAGAGTCATTTTTCCCTCCGTCGTGGAAGATCCTCAAGTTTCTAATTTAACTCTAAGAACTCCCTTGAACTTTTTAATCCGATGACTAAGAAGTGACCAACTGTGCAAACTCAATGTATGGGCAGGACACCACAGCAAAGTCATCGCAGAGGCATGTTTATCCACCAAGTTTTGTTCAGATTCTGAAAGTAGAAACAGTGACTGCAGTGGATGGTGTTTCTATAAAGATGTCAACCTCTCGCCACACGGGCGGCACAGCTACGGGGAATGCTGCTCAGCTTTATTCTGAGGATGCAGCAACTCTTCAGGCTGGTTTGTGAAGCTTCTTTTTCCAGTTTTACTGCACATATCTCACCGATATGCACAAATACATACAACTCACTGAAAATATTGTAAACTGCACTTATTACACATTTGCTCTGTCGGTACCAGCAGTGAACTGGAAGAAAAGTCCTAGAGTCTTCTTACCAATGACCTGCTCATAGTTTCAAAGCTTGAAGAACCCGTTCATTAATCCATTAATGATTGCCACATCCAGAGCTACTTGTGAGAGTTCTAGACCTATGGTACTTTCCTTTGAAGTCATGGCATAACCAAGCCAACCAGGTCTTCACTTAAGCCTGTTTTCTTGTATTTTGTGTGAACTCTGAAAGTGTTTCTGTAGGCTTTAGATTTTATTCAGTTGCATAATTAAAGACTGAGTTCTTTATTTGGAATGAAATATTCTTGTCTTACACAGTAAGTAATAAAAAGAAGTAACGTATACACATTATTAACCATAAATGAAAAGAGAAAAAACCAGTGCAAAATGTGGCAGACAATACATCTCTAACATATTGTAAAGGCAGATACCAGGACAAAACTACTTCAGAAAGGCGCCAGCAAAATGGTGAATGTGTGAAAACAAAGAAAAACATTGTGTTCACAGGGTGCAGAGAATCTCCCAGAATCTGGCAGAGCCCACGCATCTCTGCATCCAGAATACACTTAGAGAATACTTTAACCATGACAATAGGGACTACAGAAAATGGTATATTGTGTATAAACCTGGCCTCTCTAATCGCCTCCTTATGTGCCTGGAACATCTTGACGTTGTTCATGTTCGATTGCCAATATTTCACATATCCTCCGTGGTCTGCTGTCAACATCCACATGTCATTATGTGACCAAGTCATGGCCCTCACTGGGCTATCGTGAGCCTATGAAAACAAAACATTTGTAAACATTACATACAAGATGAAAGGCTTCACAGGAGCATCTATTAACTCACAACGATTTGTCTAAGTGTAAGTTTAAAATGCCAATAAATTTACTATATCTCAAGTTCTTTACAGTACCACAGAATGATGCTGCCATCTGATGATCACTGTTACCTGTAGTATTGTTTCAAAATTGAAAGTGAGTCCATTCCACAAGGTGAACTCTCCACTAGAAGCTCCAGTGACCAACCGTCTTCCCTCTGGAGTCCACTAGGGGCGGAAAAAAAGACAGGTTATACCAGGCCACAAACCCTCAACCTTAATTAATTTTTAAAACACTAAGAAAGTCTTTATTTACAACATTGTATTTTATAATAATCAATATTAAGTAGATGATACCGACTTTCACTTAAGTGTAGCTCAGATTTATAAGCAAGTATTTTGTCAGAAAAAAAAAACTTTATTAACACAGTGCAGGAAAAGCTCTAGCACTTTAGCTCATTAACTGAATTAAAAATAGTTAAATACATTACAAGCAAGCACCTTGCTAAGCTACACAGGCCTAAGCACTCTAAAGAGCATTTCAAAACAATGTGCATAGCCTTCATTTTCCTATTGGCAGGCTAACATAAATAAGATGGTCAATCACCAGAAAAACTCAAAGCCTGAAGGATGGATTTCAACTACTAGACCAATTCAGACAGAAAAGTTACCATGGTTTTATGGAAGAAAAAAAAAATTAACTATAAGTACCAATTTAAGGACATCAAAGCTATCAAATTTTTACTGGAAAATAAATGTACTAACAAAACCAAAAAAAAAAAGCTTTTTAAAGCTCTCCTTCACTCATAGTACCATGCAGTAACAAGTCTTATGCTGATCTCTCAAAAAAAAAAAGTAGTACAGCAAATTTCATGACAAACACTACACCAATATATTAATGCTACAATTTTCCTACTGTAAAAAAATCTGTGATTTATAAACTCAAAAAACATATTTTTGCAACTCTGGCTGATGTGACTCAGTTGGTTAGAGCATCATCCAGTACACCAAAAGATAGTGTGTTTGCTTTTCAGTCATGGCACAAACCCAGGTTTTAGATTCGATCCCCGGTTGGGGTGCTTGTGGGAGGCAACCGATCTAAGTTCCTCTCTCATATTGATGTTCTTATGTTCTTTCTCTCTCTTTCTCCCTCCCTTTCTCCCTCCCTCTCTTCCTCTCTCCTTCCCCAACCCCTTCTTCTTTCTGTTAAATCAATAAAAATATACCATTAGATGAGAAATAAATATATATTCTTTAAAAACACGTATTTTTTTTTATTTTCAAGTTTCTATGATAGATTACACAACTCATTTTCCTTAGAATATGCAAATACACAACTGTCAATATAACAATCCTATTTTCCGAAATAAAAACTGTGACACAGAGTTAAAAAATACAAATTGTTTATAGGAATAGCAGGATGAGATACATAAAATGAAGACTATTCGGTAAATTATAAAGACATATAGGACAATCTGGCTTTTCATTGCTTACCTGCAGATTATGATTTGAATTATTATGAATAAAATCCTCCTACTTTCCTAGTTTCTGTTATCTGCTATGGATCCCAACCCAGTAAATACTACAGGCAACCCAACTGTAGAACAAGGCCCACAGTTTATATGTCTTAATACCTTGTAATCTGGACTATGCCTCTATGTGCAAATTTCTCCTAGGATCCTATAGATCCCAAAATGAGAAATTTACCATGTTACAGGATACAGGATAGAGTATGCTCAGATTCTATTCACATCAAAAAGGTTTTCAGTATTATGCTAAGAGGATATTAAAATAGCTGCAAACAAAATCATCCTACACACTAGTTGGCTCTACTAACCCAAAAACCATTGAAATAAGGTCTTCTTTACAGATGCATCTACTGATATATGCCTCTGAAGCAAAAAGGAGACCTTGTAGTGACTGTAACATTTTTATGGGGCTCAAACCAGCATCTCTTCCACTCCCTCTCAGGTCTCCATATAGCTCACCTCCCTGATAGCAGAGGACTTATTAATTTTGCTCATTTGCCACATATTTGCTATGACTGTCTTTTCTCTGTCCTAGTGTTTCGTTTGTTTGTTTTGTTTTTGGTGTGTTTTTTTTTTCCAATTCTTACTTGCTCAACTTTGACTACTAACTAGCTTGGGAGACAGAAATGGGAAGACTTTTTTTTTTAATACAAAATGCTTCAAATATCAATATTTTGAATCATGTCAATGTACCATTTGTTTTAAAACTATACTTTAAAAATTTCAGTAAAAATGTATTGAATACCTACTATGTACCTTCGGAACTGACAATTAAGGTCTACCATTTGTCTTCAGCTCTTCTCAAGTATTTTGCTTCCTAGTAACACCTAAACGTTTTCATTCACCTTGAGATGCTGCTTTCTAAATTCTAAACAACAAAAGCATTCCTATTCAAGAGCAATTCCTATTCAAAAGGTCTCCTAGCAATTCCTATTCAAAAGGTCTACTGTAATATGTATGCATGGCCAGCTCAAAAATGAATTCTATGGAAATTGCAGTAAGAAGAAAATAATCCAAAAGTAATACCTTACTAAATGTGGATATAGTAGATAATTGGGTATTCCAAAATAAAATGACTAGCAATATACTGATTTTTATCCCAGGTACACATTTAAAACGGTGTTTAATTTTCTTTGTCCTATTATATATATTTACAGACTAACTAAGGATCAATTTTGCCAAAAATATCCAAGAGAATACTTACCCTAACAACAAATACTGGACACTTTACTTTATTGGTTGATGTTCTAACAAATTTTGTTGTTACTGCATTCATAGGATTATTCAACATCCCTATAGGTGGGACCAGCTATAAAAAAAAATACATATTGGGTTTTAAGAGCTCCTGATGATGCACAGGACATAAGCCAAGGACATGCAAAGTTACAATTTCAATATTTAAAGACAAATTCAGGAATATAAAGGACTTTCAAAAATACTGTAATAGCCGAAACCGGTTTGGCTCAGTGGATAGAGCGTCGGCCTGCGGACTGAAGGGTCCCAGGTTCGATTCCGGTCAAGGGCATGTACCTGGGTTGCAGGCACATCCCCAGTGGGAGGTGTGCAGGAGGCAGCTGGTCGATGTTTCTCTCTCATCGATGTTTCCAACTCTCTATCTCTCTCCCTTCCTCTCTGTAAAAAATCAATAAAATATATTTAAAAAAAAAAAATACTGTAATAATACAGCGGCTCTCAACCTGTTGGTCGCGACCCCTTCGGCGGTCGAACGACCCTTTCACAGGGTCATGCATATCAGATATTTACATTACGATTCATAACAGTAGCAACATTACAGTTATGAAGTAGCAACGAAAATAATTTTATGGTTGGGTCACAACATAAGGAACTGTATTTAAAGAGCCAGAAGGTTGCGAACCACTGTAATAATAGATTAAATCCTATATAAGAAAAGCCTAATATGGAAATTGTCCCCTGGGGAGTTCGACTGCTTGCTATGACGTAAGCTGACCACCAGGTGGCAGCATGGAACAAAGGAAGGCCCCGGCAGGCAGCTGGCAGCTGGGGGAAGGAAGGCCCCATCAGCCCTGATTGCCAGCCAGGCCTAGGGACCCTACCCGTGCACTTATTTCGTGAACCAGGCCTCTAGTTAATCTATATTAATTGAGGAAAACTGAGATACAGAAAAGTTAAATGTCAATTATTACTAGACAAGCAACAAAATCAAGTACCAGATTTCCCCAATTCCTTTTCAAAGTCAACAATCAGCTAAATTTAAAATTAACTTTCCTATTACACAGATTTTGAGACAGTGTAATCTTTTGCTGAACACCACTTTAAGCCCCAAATCAAAAGTTCACCCTTCATCAGATTAAAAGAAAAATTTAAGTTGAGATGAGAAAAGTTCATGTTTGAATTTGAGATCACATGTTTTCAGATTCACATATCTAAACAAAGAGTTTTATATTAAGCAGTATGGCATATCTTATACTTACATCATTATAATAACCTGCGTCAGGCTGAATTGCCCTCATATCTCTCTGGTCTCTTTGCCATATTCTATTCTGTTAAAAAGAGATTAATTAATTAATCAATTGCTATATGAGCTCATTGTACTCAATATGAAACTAACGAAATGTAAGCTATTATTAAGTGGGAGGGAAACAGGATTAAAATTTTTTCATGTTCTAAAACATATAATAATAATAGTTGATATCTTATCCTATTGACATTGATTAGAATTTCTTCCTCTCCTTACTCACATTATCCCCAACCAATCATCCAAGATTCTCTTAACCCCAAGACATTCTCATTGACCATACACACCTTAATAGCAGGGGG